TTGTTCAAAGCTTGAGTCTGTTTTCTAAGTCTACATGTTCATGACTCTTTGTGCTACTGTGCCCTCCCGGACAGGCTGTTGCCGCTGTCTGCCACTCCTGGGAACACAGTAACCGGGGTTTTCTAAGCTTAACGGTGGCTGTGATTTTGATTTTGAAGTTGAGGAGAGTATGAGGACAATTAGGAGTTTCAGCATGGTGTTATGCGGACTAGGTTTGATAAGTATTGGTGCCAGTATCATAGTCATTAGTTTGGCTTTCTAGAACTACGATGACGAGAACATGTGCAAGGTGTGGAGGAATTTGTAGTAATAGAAACACTACGACAGCTATCAGGCGTAGATCGGTCAATTTTCTGGATAACTACGTACATAGGACTATATACCCGGTATTCGAAACAACACAACGTATTTCGAATGCTAGGACACGGATTGCAGTATACAGACAGCTTCAGAACATTCTCGCACGTATAGCAAGGGCAATACGGTTACTGAGACCAGGACGGAGACTACGGGTTACGGAGGTAGCAGAGATAGCCGATATTTGGGATTTCTGAATTATCGCGACGAGGACGCTGTTCGAGTGTTTCCTGGAATAGAGATTTTTAGTCTTTGTCCTAAGTTTGGAGACGAGACAAGATGAATAGCAATGGGGGTGGTAGCAATATGGGGAATAATGGGAACAATAATAATAACAATAACGGTAACAATGGAGGTTGGGGAGGATGATCGAGCTGTCCAGTTTGCTACGAATGCGGCAAACCTGGACACATCGCACGTGACTGCTGGACTAAGAGGAGTAGACCAGCACAACAAGAAGATGAGATACAAATTTTTGTCCGAGATTTGATGAAAGAACGAGAAGAAAAACGGAAGCGTGACGAAGAGGAAGAAAAACGACTTGCGAAGGAGGAAAAAGAGAAGAGATGGGAACTCGACATGGCCAGGAGAACCGAGGAGATGCGCTTGCAACTTCAAGCAAAAATTGCCGATAAATGGAAGAAACAGCAAGAACAGGCGATGGAGAAGGCGAAGGTGACCAGCCAAGCGGAAGACAAAGCTACGAGTCCTAAGATTTCACCAAAGAGCAAGGCGGTTACAAAGGCAAAGGAGAAGACGAAGAGATCTTCGAAGAAGAAGAAGATGAAGACAAGGGTCGTGGAATCTTCTTCATCCTTATCTGATACTGAGGAGAGTACGTCCACTACAGAGGATTCATCGGATACGGAAGAAGAGGCACTACGACTAGTGAGACTACTCCGTGAAGAGAAGCGCAAGACCAAGATGAAGAAGAGGCAGATACGGAAGAAGACTAGTAAGAAGAACTCGACGGGCACTTACGAGCGGGGCGAATGTTCAAAGAAGTCGGATACTCCCACACCTCCGACGAAGAACAGAGGACTGGAGCCTGAGACACCACTCACAAAGGGGTACAAAGGGATCTCAGCCAGCTGCTCTCAGGAAGGGCTCGTCGACTACACGTTATCAGTCATGAAGCAGTATTCGGGGAAGAAAGTCTCACAGCTCAAGGAGATCTGTGAGAAACATGGCATAAAACCAGCAAGAAAGGAGGACATGGTGATGGAACTGGTGAAGCGACAGACAGAGTTAGCCTATGACGGCTTCTTCTCGACACCACTGATGAAGAAGACAAGATCTCTGAAGATCGATGAAGACATGGAGCAGGCCGACAAGACACCAACCGAACCGGTTAAGACTACGGTCACTACGAGAGGGAAGGCAAAGATCAAAGGGACACCGAGAGTGACACTAAGATCGGCACCGCCAGAAGAACAAGAGCAAACGTTCGATTGACAATCAACTTCCCCGACGGCCGATGAACTCTGGATAACCATGGGCACGTGCATGGCCGAGAGAGGAGACCTCCGGGGGCGTGGTGTTACAGGCGAGCAAGCAGCACAAGTCGAGAGACGCATTGCCACTACCATGATTCTACTCGGACTCAAAGGCGAGGTAAAATGGATTGGAAAGTTTTTGGATAAGATGGAGTTCTCAGGCGACACGCTGGACCTCAAGACCGGTGGAACGTATCTGATCACTAGTCCGTGGTCCAAACGGGTGTATGTAGGATGTACTACACGACCGATTATGCAACGATGGAGGCAACATCGGCTGACAGCGAATTCAAAGACTTTGGGTAAGACACCACAGTTATACAGATGGATGAGAACATTCGGTATAGAGAAGTTTGTGATTATTCCTATCAGACACACGATAGAGAAGGATGATTTCAGCTTCGAGAAACATATCATTCAGGATCTGTCACCGAGCCTCAATACGCTCGGAACCGGTGGACGAGCGGGCTTCAGATCACAACGACGCAAAGCCAGGCGAGAAAGGAAGAAACGAGCATCTGCTACAGTAGGACGAACAGTCGTCAGTTTTATCACCAAGAACGAGGAGCGTACGTCTTTAATGAATTGGTTAGATGAGAGACATACTGCGGGTGATGACCCAGTAGCGATTAGATTAGTAGCCGGACAGGAGTGGTCGGATGGTTGGAAAAAGATACGTGCTAAGTACGGTGACACGATCATCCGTTTAGTAGGTAAGACGATGAGGCTAAAGGAAGGAAGGACAGCGTGCCAGAATGGGGGAGAGTTTGAAGTAGTGAAAGTTATCAAGACTGCGACGAATACCGAACAGAACAGAAAGTCGCTGCAACGACTCTTGAACCAACCACGGATGGCGACGTCACTCGGGAGGTACTCTACTCAAAAGCTGGTTGGACTCTATAGGACGGCAGGACTTTTCGCGAAAAAATAAACCAGGAACAGATTGAAGGTGAAGTTGGACTGTGTTGTGAGACGAAAGACGGGGGTTAGTATTAGAAGGAAGACTACGGTGAAGTATTCGTACGATAATTCAATACGGAAGACGGAAGTGAGACGGGTTGTGGAGAAACTTATCGATGCAAGGGTAACAGACACTGCTGTTGCTAATTTTGTCAAACGGAAGGTGAGGATTGTGAACACTAGAAAAAGGACAGTTGCTGAGATTATCCACAATCACAGGAGATATGCGCATACACGGCCGGTGGAATGTTCCTGTCTCCGACACAAACTGGACAGACAAGAAGGACATGTTCTCACACGGTTTTCTGAGATGGACTGTGTACCGGATTTTATCTGGAATTCTAGGAATGTCACTAAGGGTGCGACTTTCGACCAGAAGCGAGAACTTGTGAAGGGGATACTCGCAGCAACAGAGCATTTAAAAGGTAGGGAGAGACAGGAAATCAGCGTGGACCAGTGTTTCGCAACAACTACAGGAAACACTGCAACATGGACAAATTTCGAGGTCCGGAAGTGGGCTACACGTTTCGATGGCCTGGTACTGGTCCCAGTAGACAGGAACATAGGTGACACAGTTCTGGTATGTCCTGTATTGTATAGGCATGCCTTTGGTCGAATGTTCTCTTGGAATCCAGACTACGAAAAGGTAGACCAGGAGGAGAAGGAGGTTTTAGCAGCGGGTAAGATCGATTACGAAAAGACTGGACTAATCGTGCTTGGAAACTGGAAAACGGATGGAAAGCTGGGCAAAACATATATCATTCCTAAAGATAAAGACCTTCAGCGATGGCGCCCGATTGCCCCAGCTTGTGGTGACCCGGCCACCATGGGGCAGAGAAGGTGTGCTAGGGCATTGTACTGTCTTATCACAAGGTTCCCTAAGGATCTACATTTCCATTTGAACTCTGCTAAGTCTCTGAGTCAACAATTGAACACAGTTGGGTCCTCAGTAACGAGGACAGGCTGCAACATGGCTATTGGCAGATGCTACGATATCAAGGAAATGTTTTCCTCGATACCGCATGCCGCCATCAAAGACGCAGTTTTTGAACTGATAAGATATTACGAGGACCATGGTTGGAGGCAGGTAAGGGTAGCGACGAGAGGGAAACTGTGCGTACTCTCGAAGACAAACAGAGGAGAAGCAGGGTACATGAAGGTAAAGTTGGAATTGAGATATAAGATGGTCGAGTATGATCTCTCACATACATATATGCTATGTGGAGATCTGATTAGGAGACAACTTGTAGGAGTACCAATGGGTAAGATCTTGAGCCCGGTCCTAGCCACGGTAACTTGCTCAATGGCAAAAACAAGATTTCTTCGGTCGCTAGGAACAAACAGAAAGTTGGTGTACGGTTGGCGTATGGTAGATGGCGTTTCCATTGTGGTAGGATGCTCGCACGAGGCCGAGTCATGGACGAATGCGCAACGGATCGTAGATCTATTTGAGGCATCCTACGATTCTAACCTGAAACTGGTCCGAAAGGACGACGGTTCGAACCTCTGGAGTTTCATCGGCGGACAAATGTTTGTTGACAACAATCCGGTACAAGTTCATTTTGTTCAAGATACCAAGAACACAAGCGCTGAGAACATCGGGATCTTTGAAGTACCAATCAATGCAAGATTTTGCAAGCTACTCTGACAAGAAGTCGAAGAAGGGCGTTCTCTCAGCTACCCTGAAGAGGTTGTGGTACTCGTCGACTTCTTCAGCACTATGTGCCAGCTCACTTGCATATGCACTAGTTGAGAGTAACCTCCGGGGCTACCCCCCGGAGGTCTCTCTCGGGGCTTTGGCCAAATTGGCCAAAGCTACGGGAAACCATCTGGTTCGGGCCTTTTGGGAACTTTTTCATTTTGTCCTTACGAAGGGACGCGGGCCACGAGCGGCGTTCGGACGAACGTACGGAAGCAATGATCAGTTCCAAGCGGCTCAGGCTGTAACTGCCGAAGGTGGGAACTGGTAGATGAATCC